GGTGACCCTGGGGAGCACTGTGTGTTGTAGGACACCAGGATGGGTGACCGGGGTGGGGGACAATGAGGGGTGGGAAATGGCAAGTCAATCAGCAAATGCCAGCCCTGGAGAGAGAGAGAGGTAAAGGGTAGGTCAAGGCTGGACAGAAGAAACCCTTTCTGTGAGTCCTTGTGGGGACCCAGAGGGAAGGGCAGTCATGGCTCCATTCCCAGGAGTCTTTGTAAAAGGGGTCAGGGGTCTGGACTTGGCAAGGGGAAGGGAGGGTGTCCTCAGGCACTGGGTCCGTGTTGGCTGGGAGAGAGGTTTCTCTGGGACAGTCCCCCAGACCTCAAAAACTGGAAGGAGGAGAGTATGGCGGGAAGGGCAGGGGGAGTTCTGCCGCCATCCCTGAGTGTTGTTCCAGGCTGTGATTCCCGTTGTAGTCATCTGTTGATCCTTCTGCCCATCATAGCCACTTGTGTCTTTTCTCCACCACCAAGCCCTGGCAGCAGGCAGCGGGCCTTCTCCTGCCCGCCCTCCCTACCACATGCACACATTCAGCCTGGTACCAAGACTCCAAGTCAGAAACTGTTCCCTGTGTGACAGGCAGCGGGAGGTTGCCCGGGGGAAGAGGGCAGGCGCCTACCCGCCACCCACACTGAGGGGGCTTTGCGATCCACGGAGAGAGAAGCGGGTGACAGAGAATGAGAAACAAAAGAGGCCGGCAGAAGCAGATCGGCCAGGCTGCGAAAAAGAAAAGCCAAGAGGGAAATCCATGTAGAAAAGGACTGGGACACAGAGACCCGGACAGACTGTCCAAGCAGGCAACAAGCCACCAGACTGAAGGCGAGGGAATGAGAGAGTGAGAGCAGGAGGGAGGGGAGCAGGCGAGACGGATGGGGCGGGGGAGAGGAGAGAGAGAAGAAAAGGGGAGAAGAGGGGAGAGGGAGGAGTGGTGGAGAGCGAAGAACTGGAAGCGGGAAACGGGAGAGAGAGGGAGGGAAGACGAGGAGGGGAAGGAAGGGAGCGGGGTGAAGGGAGGCGGGAGAGGTGGCCGAGGAGTGAACGGAGAGGAGGCTGTTG